AAATTACCAGATTATCCGCAGATCTCTTTTGCCGTTTTTCGCTGAGAACTCGCAGACGTTTTGTTGCGAATAGTTTCGCCAGTTTTCGTGACAAAGGATGAAGATTTTCCAGTGTGTGCCCTACATACACAACGGAACATCATATATTTGTGAGCTGCACCTGTTCCCAACTCTGATATTATCTTGCTATACGTTCCGAATTGAATTTTTGGCTTTAGAAGTGTTACACCCAGAAAAAATAATTTCTCCAAATTGTTTTTTTGGCAATGAGGTAGTCTTGCATCAATAATGAAACGATCACATCCTCACGAAATTTGATTGAGAAATAATAAGAAAAAAAAATAATAACCCGCAGTTGAATACACTCCTGTATACGTCTAAGCATCGACAAAATGAGATGATCGATGTCTAGTTGTGGCACCTCATTCCAAGCAACTCGAACTTCGTGGATTAGCTGTAGCAGAGTCTATGGCGTAACCAATTGCAAAAATCAACTCTTATAGGCAAATCTCGAGGCGAAAGCGCTTGTACACGTTGTATATGATATGGATAAAGTTGCTGATCTTTCAAAAGTCACCATACTGGTACAAGATTTAAATTTAGCATGTGCGCAATTTTTCGCGTACTTGTTGTAGGGTCCTCTTCGATTTTCTTAAGCACAACTTCTTCGATTGAGATGGTTCTTACACTTGCGGATCTTCCTGCAGCATGTGTGGATCTCTTGAAACTGCCTATTTCTCATAGCTGAGTGCTAATGTTGATGAGAGTTTGTACATTAGGCAGCGGGCGTGGTGGAAATCGATCACCATACAAACGCCGTGCTCGTCGAGAGTTACCCAGAGCCATTCCGTAAACGAAATGCATATCTGTCATTTCTTGATTACTGAACTGGACCATTATGACAATTCTTAATCACCAAAACTCAGAAATATTTGGAGACTAAGGGCCAATTTAACCAACAACAGTCCGTTATTCTCCACCTATAGGGTAACAGGCCGTCAGATACAGCGAATGAGCTTCAAGTTCCAATCTACAAATTTTAGCAACCAATAGCTATGAAATTTTGAAAACAAAATACTGTCAAAGTATGAGATGACAACTTGTCATTGAAACATCACCAGCTTATTGAATATTAAGAAATTACATATAATTCAGTCAAAATTTTAAGAAATGTTTGATTATAATTACTATTGTTGATTTTTTATTCATGATTATATTATTTTCTTCAACTGATATGTGATACTGGGCGTTTTTTCCTATAAAACTCTTGCAGATAGCCATTAAGCACCTACTTGATGACAGGCTCTACCAAAAGATATTGCTCATTTCCAAACAATCATTCATTTACTTGCCGTTCATCAGAACCATTATGGCACCTTAAATTGATATTCCCACAAAACCATTGATATCCATACATCCATAAAGTTGAATATTTTTCGTTGTTCAGGAACTGAACAAACATCCACACTATATTCACAGCGATTAAGTAATTCCCAAATATATGCCTTAAAGCTACCAGCATACCTAAGACCTGCAAAAAATAAATAAAATATTTTTCTTATTTCACGAGTACACATTCTAGGTTATATTTATATTAGATATTATTTGAATACAGCTGATTATTGCATTTGAAGGAGTGAGGGGGATCTGTCAACTGTTGGTACCAGTCACAAAACATGATACTCTGAAGGTTTAATTCCATATTATTCAATGACAGCGGCCATTTTGAGAGGGTGCGATAGGGTTGCCAGATTGTGCATTAATATCCCGTTTCACCCTCCTGGTCCCAGTAGAGTAAGTTCCGCGGTTCCGCCAAAATGCAAATGAAAATTTAAAATTATTTCCAAGACGCCGCAAAATAGCTCCGTCGGTACCTTGGTTTATACATCTTGACAGTAGGGATGTTCGATACGATCCTATATTTAGAAGTATCAATCTATTTCACGAGTATCGTCATCTTTCGATCCGGACTGTGTCAGAAAGAGTGACTAACTTCAGATTACTTTTCTTCTTTGTTTCCTTCCGCGACATTACTCTGCCAAATCAGACATATCTTTCAACATTTTCAAAGAAATTGTACAAAATCTTCAAATTTCTGAAGTTAGCAAGTTTCACTTCATACGTTGTTACCAGACATGCCCAAATCATCAATTGCTGCCGTGATATTCATCCCGACCACTGCATCCCCACGGCTAGGTGACCTGTATGTTAAATTTCTATTGATAGGGCAGCGGGTTATGCTATAAATCATAATGTCACAGTGTTTGTGCACTGATTGCAACGGTTAGATGATACCAAATATATTTTCATAAATAGGAGATCTCCCCCATTCCGGATCGAAACATCTACCAAAGATGCTTATAATCATGATACCTAGTAAATTTTCACGAAAAAATCAAAACCAGCAAATGTAAAAGATTCATTTCGCACCCTCCACCACGGGAAGTGATCGTCGTTAGAATTGGCAACTCTGCGAGTGTCAGATAGATATCCCCGCCAGTCATAAAAGAAAAATAGACAAACAATAAACATTACTAGTTTTTTTGATTTTTGGACTTACGACATTATTTGTGAAACATTTTTCATAATTTTTTGTCTATGTCCATAGTAATTGCATTCTGCATCATGGAGATATAGGGATTGACACGTCTTACACATTATCTGTGTTTTAGCTTGGAGAGGACATAATGTTTTATTGCTTTGAAGAAATTCATTAACCCATAAATTAATAAATGATTACTATTATGACGTAAAGGAAGATGAGGAAGTGGATGGAATGTATTTTACATTCTATTTTCTTGAAAAATACAGACAAATTCACACTATTCAACAGGTATGTAATGACAACTTTCAGTATATTGAAGGTGGTAAATTCGAGAGTGCCATGCATTAACAAACGTCCAAATCTGCTGCCAAATTTAACGTCTAGAAAACCGACCTGTTATTTGCCGCATTCCCATTCGCTGAGGGGGATAACGGATTGTTAAATGTAAACCTATAACATATATCAAAATACATGAAAGTTGTACTATTTTTTTCTGTACAGAAGCATCATGTTGGAATCAAAAAGTGGTCTTGTTTATAATACACTCCAATTTTCACGATTTTATTCAATATTTCAATAGAAATCGCTAATATTCAGAGTCTTTTGACAGCTTCCGTCAAATTGCATTTCTATAAGGTATTTTCCCATTGGTCCATAATATTAATGTTGGTGAAATCGGCCCTTAGAATGACCAGACAAGAAAACAAATATTTGGCAGCTGTCGAATTATTTGAGAAAATAAATTAAGTCAATTGTTTTCTGGTACGTCTTAGGTGTCTAGATAAGCGCAATGCTTAAATATTAAAAGAATTGCGATCAAAACAAATCAATGACATGCTATTTTTTCAAAAAATACTGGATAATATTATCCGTATCTGTATCTACTAGGGTGGGTCACTTTTATATGTGAAAAAAAAAATGTTCCTTTTTTTCATAAGCTCAGTGACAAAAAGGTGCTAAATCATGAGTGTGAACATGTTATGAAGTTTGATTGCAATCAGAATTAATCTTCTGCCTCCGGAATCATGTGGAAATTGTCAAAGATGGGGTTAAAGGAGGTATAACTGCGTGGCATACAAAGTCACACTAATGAATATAATTTACAAATAAATGTCTTGAATGAATAGTAAGTAAACGTTTATTGAACAGAAAATAATGTTTACAACAAAAATAATAATGAATAATCATTGAGCGAGGGGTTTATTTTGTAGAGAAATCCTTTTTGCTATCAAATTTTGGCATTGCTTTTCTCGAGTCCATCTGGGCTTTGATGAATCCCTCTCTCATTAGCTTATTGCACAAAGTGGTTGAGGCCTCGGTTACAGCTTTGACTGCTCTTTCTACTGCTTGTGTGTGACAAGGAAGGCGTAAGAAATCCAAGTCTCTTTCTCCTTTCTGTTCAATAAATAATCGGAGATATTTTTCGGTTACAGATTTCAATAATGGTGGTTCAGAGATATCTTCTTGCCAATTCAAAAGATCATAATACGTTGATGCATTGAAGTTAATCTGTGGTAACTTAAAAATGCGCAAATCTTTAGTTGTTACTGATCTAGCTTTCAAAATCCGTCGTGCAGCTAATTCACGAATGTGCGGCTGAGAGTCTGTTAACATTGCGAGCAATACGTTTTCCGGATGTGCGAAATAGCTGTTTCTTTGAATTACTGGATCGACGATAGATTTCAAATTTGCTGGTAAATATCTGGATAACTCGATGAGTTTGAAAAAGTGTCGCGATCCATCTTTACAGCTAGAATGAGATTTTATAGAAAACCATATCGGAGCATAAACCTTGATAACATACGTTGCAAGAATAGTTAGACTTTCAGGCGGAGTCTCTACAGAAACATACAGACGGAGGATCCTGTTCGCACGAGTCAGCCACCTCGCATGAGACATTTTACCTGGTGATTTATTAGCCAAATCGCTAGGAAATACACCGGTTGAGATTGCTTCAACCATTCTGTACAAGTATTTTGGTCAGTACTGATATCTTTAGCAGAAAGCTCCGGTAAGCTCGTTGGAATAGGCTTAAACTTGCTTATAGGTCTTTTTTCGCAGTTCTCGAGATCTTTGCCAATCGTTCCTGAAAATGTTCGTGGTCCAGAGGTACTACCATCAATATATTGGAACAGATGTCTAAATGGTAGTTCATTCATATGGAATAAACAAATAATCCATTGTAAGGGTCTACCTAACCGTTTCTCTAGCAGTCGTATAATACCGCCATATATGCCAACATTCACATTAGTTCCATCACATCCAATTGCAGTTAAATCATCGACGGATATATCAGCATTCAAGAAAAAGTCAAATATTTCATTTGCTATACACTTTGCAGTGCCTGAAGCAGGTGTAATATAGCCTAAAAACTCCGAATAAGGTTCTTTTATCAAAGAAATGTGCTCTTCAACTATGCGTTTTCTATAGTTTTTTCCTTCTATTTCAGACATCATTAGAGTCTGATCTTTTCTTCCGTCAAATACAATGCGTGTATTTGTGAAACAGTTTGCTGTGAAACTATATTTTCTCTGGCCTTTTTTCGTTCTCGGCGTAGTTTATTTTTATCTATTACTTGAGAACCCGACGCATGTAGAACAACTGATGCGATAGCTGCTCCTGCCCTATCCGACACTCCGAATCTATCGCATGTTTTTGATAGCAAAGTATAATCAAGTCTAGTGTCACTCTTAGATTGACCACTTGAAGTCCTCAACTTGATTTGTGTTGGTTCTTCAGCATCGGACTGAACACTTTCGGATTCAGAAGTGCTACTCAGCTTTTCCGTACATGTTTCGGTTTTTTTCAGTCGTTTGCTCTTAGAATTTTCTCGTATTGACTTCCTTTTCAGTGTTTTTGTAATTTTTGTTGTTGTGACAACATCTAAGGCACCTATCACCATTTGCCTAGCGGTTCGTTGATCAGTTATAAAGCCACGTTCTCTTGCAGGTATTTTCTTGTTTTTCGGGCAAGCACATTTGAGAAACTCTTGACACTTGCAAGCCGAAATATCAAACAAGGCTTTACTCCCAAGACGAAACCCTTCCAACGTGTTTTTAGGTATTCTTGTATTAGATTTGAGGAGATTTTTGCATTTTAAGTGATACGTTTGTAACATTACCTTCATTCGTTTGGGTTCAACTGTAGGGATAGAGGATTTTGCCCATATTTCTATCAGTCTTGCAACTACAATGGCCTCTATTTCTTTATATGTTGGCTCTTTATTTGTTTCTCTCTCGTATTCAACCTGTGTCGGGTCCACTCATAAGATCGCATTACATCCCCATAGGTTGGCAATACGTTGTCTTTCAAGTCATTTAAATCACCAAATATCGGACACTTCCAACTATTTCGAGTACGTTCCATTTTTCTGACAGCGAAACTTACACGTCCGCACTTTCTAACGCAAGATACTGATTGCGATGAACTGTGCGCGACTTGTCTTACCCGTGTGTCTTACCTAACACCCCCACTCTTACCCCTCCCTCTCCCTGGCTACTTGAACTCAACCAAACAGTAGCTAACACTAACGCTTAGGCAACCAAAGTAACAGGAACCATAATCGAAGATGCATAAAGAATTAGTAAAGTGACGCCCGAGGAGACGCTAGAAGTTTACGTACACACAATGCTTTAGTACAATCCGGAGGCAATAAAACTCAGAATTATGTAATAAAATTTTACATATGAACTAACGGCACCATTTGGCACCTTTTTATTACTGAGCCTTTTTCAAAACCGAAAAAAAATTTTTTGACCCTCCCTAGTACCTAACTACGTACAGGAAGGGTCTGAAAACAATTGTAAATCAAGTGATATTCACCACAGGGTATACTTAATTAAAATAAAATACATTCCATTCTTTTATAATTTTGTAGAACATATCATCATTTCTTTTAGTGCTAATATGAAATAATTGAAAACAAAGCCATTGCTTTGGACAGTAGATTTATAACCATGAGCTTACCTTGTTTCCGCAATTATGCTGTTGAATTTTTTAAACGTTTTTTAAACTTTTTGATTAGTATTTTGTAAGGATCTGTTTATAGTAGCCGTATTCGCACACAAACTTTTAATTTTTCACTCCTCGTATAAGCTTCAAGTGATTTGTTATATATTGTTTTCGTGTGTTATCTTTGTGTTAGCTGTTAATAACAATATACTCAGCTTTAGTGGTTATGTGTTAGAAAACCATTTTGCTAAACTTTGACACTACAGTTACGCTTTTTATATACACGTGTTGTATAATTAATTTAATAAAGACCTCTATTAGTTTTCATGTTCTTGGGAAACACAATTTGAGTAATGGGTTGTATAATAACGAAACGCGTGCAAAAAGATCGTTCCTCCAATGTGTCAAGTGCGTTATATACCGTTTTTCTTTAAAAACTTTTTTGAAAGGGCCATAATCGATCTTGTCTTTATATTAAAATTACCGGATGTGGGTCGGTATCCATATGGCTTGCGCTTAACATGAAGCTCATTTTAATGATCCTGCTCTACACAATAAAAATCCATCTCATTCTCATTTTTTATTCAGACATTGTGCTTTAAAACGTTTAACATTTGACGCTGGTGTTCCATTGAACAAGAATCGTGAGAAATCCATCTTTGATAAGGCTCCGTCACCAGCAGCGCCGCTCTGCCATGAATTATCAATGAATGCCAAAGCTCCTGCTGGCAGCTTTAGTGCGCGCCATCGAAAAGCTCTTATCCCGTTTTATGGCACAGAAAGCAATTTGTCAAAAGAAGGATATGGGCTACGTCACCCCCTGTTTAGAAGAGCTGTATACGCGCTTTCTTTACGTCTCCAAAATTATAAGCGTTAGAGAAATTTACAGTGGTTTGCATCTTGGAATACCTTTAGCTAAACGCTGTCAGTTAAAGTAAGGAGATATGACTCTGTATCTAGAAAAATGGAATAGCAGTGATAAGAATGAGCCAAAATTTTATCTGTGAGGATTTTTTTTGAAATATCTTAACATGACAAAGTTACGATACCCTGAAGATCTTATTTGAAGAATTATCTTGTTAGAGCGTGAGACTGATGGTGGGTTCATGCACGATTTAAGCTAACTTAACTTAAGAAAATGAGCATTTCATGCGCATGCGCGGCCAGGATTGCCAACGTAGCAGTTGAGGCAACATGAAAGTTAAATACCCTTAAATAATCATATGTTAACGTCAAAGTAGCAGATGAAAGAGTTGTTTTTGACTTATGAGTCACGTGGGACTGGTGGACCAGCCTTGAGTTGACAAGTGGCCCCTCCCCACACGCTTGCGCCAATGCAGGTCACAGAACTCGGATAATAGTCCAGATAATATTGGAACATCTGCTCGGAAAACTCTTCCGATTCCTATTTTTGCATAATCTGATTCAAGGACCTCTTAAAGAATCTGCATGTGACTAGGCCCAAAATTGCTCCAAAAATTGTTATTAAACCGATTCCAAAAATTGATTTGTTCGCTTTGTTTAAAGTATTTGCTGTTTTAGAACATTCTAAATAAAAAATGAGCTTTAGAACTTTTCTCTAGACTTGATATATACAGGTATAAGCAATGTAAAAACTCAAAATATGTCATTTGCTACCCTAAAAACAATATGAAAAATGAATATTTTGTTGTTGCCAAATCTCACACATGCTTCAACCAACCAATAACAAAACCCCCAGAGCATTTGAATGCACGCTCAATGTATAGTCTATGTCTATGTGACGCGAGAGAGATGAAATATCTCTCGTGCACGCTGAATATGCATTGAGCGTCCGCTTGCATATAAATTAAATACAAAGATTTATTTATAATAACAGTATCTCCTAAAAGGTATCGTTAATGGTTATTTATGAAGCATGGCGACATTAACATTTTCGTTTTTTCAGATCGTTTTTCGGTATCGCAAAATCAATTTTTTGTACTTTCCCATCTCGTACAAAATCAATTTTTGACAAACATTGTCAAACATCATTTTGTTTCGGAGTATCAAAAAAACGAATGCTACCTTTGATGAAGCGAAAACATTAATTTTTGCAATTTATTTGAAAAAGTTGTTCAAACAATTAGAGACGCAATTTGAGCCTGACAACATGTAGATTTGTTACTAGGAGGCTTTTCGAATAACATGCAAAAGCCCGAATCCGAATATTTTCCTGAGCAGGATGTGAAGATACTCTTGGACTATAACCTCGACGGCAGCGCCACTTTTCTTGGCTGGAAATCTGGTGGAACTATAAATATTGAAAGTATGCCGACAACGCATATCAGGAATGTCAGGAATGTGTCGGCGATTTCATTTGTTTACATTACGAAATCTGGCTGACGACCAATATTGAGGCAGTTCGATGATCATAGATGCATACACATCCTCAATAAAGGGAGTATTTCTTTCATCAGTTTGACTAGTAATGAATTTCAGGATAATAAAAAATGTATAATTAAAAAAATAGTTACTGAACAGTCACAGCATAATAGAACAAATTCTTCATTACAATAAATTGTACATACATAGAGGTATTCTAGTCATCTGGATTTTTCTCTATATTATGAACCTGATCAGTGCAATATCATGCAAGCACTATCTCTTGTTAATTGATCAGGTATATTTATTGCGAAAACATAAATACTAAAATAACAAAAAATACATCTGTAGGTAGAGGACTGACTGGAATACAAATATAATCACTCTGATATGTGAATCAAAAATAGTTTTTGCGCACACTGTTTAATGGGTAAAGGCAAACAAAATTGTCCTCAACAAAAAAAAAAAAACACATAAACAGTAATTGTTTCTTCAACTAGGAAACAAACTCTCATTGACAATTAATTTGGTATCCATAAAATAAATGACGATCTTCATTCCAACTATCTCCTCGAAGGATTTTGACACTGTGAAACAAAAAAAAAATTATTAGCATAATATCAACTGTCATATTTGGTCAGCAAACACTAAACAGAAACATAGTCATCTCACCACGCCCCTTCAGATGATACTGCTCTGTACATATGTATAAATTCCCAATCTAGCAGTATACATTTGATTGCCAAAATTCTGTGTTTAAAAAAAAAAATTTTCATTGGTGATACCAAATGCCAGTCCTTAATTTGGCCCTTTACCAGGTTTGTTATTACCAACAGTACAGATGTCACAAAAAAAGTTACGTGCTATTCAATCTGTTTACCTCAATAAACGTCAAAAGAGATTACATATTTGGTGGGCTGCGAATACACAGCATTCGTCAGGTGTACAACCTGGTTTGTAGTTAATGACAAAGTACCTTCACAGTGTTCTGTGAGGTTTTGGAAAAACATGTCATGGGGGGCATGGTATAGATTTAAATTCTCTTTTTTCTTCTGTAGGGGCTATAATTTGCCAACATCACCACTGGTACAGTCTCAGACATGAAAGTGTTTGCATCTATCAGCTATGAAATCAGTACTACAAGCACAAAATTTTAAGATCATTTCCATTTTTTTTTTTCGTTCTCTAGAATATAATTTCAAAATCCTCTATCTTGGTATTTTTTTCATGCTGTTTTTTGATCTAATTTATGAAGGAAACATGACCACTGACTTTAATTATTATAATTTTTAACATACATGATTTTTTTTATCAATCCGCCCCGATGTTCAGCTCTAAACTGTCATGCGTAGGCAAGCGCAAATAATTTTTCATACAAGTATCACCGAACCATCTGCCCATACAGCGATACAAAATCGATCAAACATCACGATATAAATATCGACTATCGACTTTTGTACAGTATCGATGGCTCGTAGCCATCTTCTAATTCCAGCTGTAGCGATCAGCTGACCAACGCTAGTGATCCGATTGGTTGGTTCTTAAGGAAAAGTTCAATATATTGAACTTTAATTTAAGAAGTGACCTTGAAATTAAGAAAACGACCATAACCTCAATATATTTTGTCATTTATGCAAAAATGAACTGATTTGGATACTTACTGCAACGTCATCATTAGGCGCTCCTCTGGCGATGTCCGATTGCGTTCAGGTGACTTCTGCAGGTACCTCTTCAACAAGGTCAGGAGTTGATACCACCGCGGCTTTTTCGTTAATTTTGCTCTAGGCATGGCCATCCTCAATTAATCGCACAAAAAAACAAGTCAAAGGCAGAAAAACACACCCGAAGACGAACACCAAAACAAATCTCTACCACAAATTCGTCAACAACTC